TTATTTCTCTTCTATTACAAGTTGACTGGAGGGAATGGATATATTCCTACGTAGGCTTCTGGTGACCCCCACTCTGCTACTATCACGCTGAAATTTTCACGATTTTTCGAATTGCTCTGATTTTGTTTTTCCGGACCTTTTGCTTTTTACCGAAGGATTGAAGTGTGGGGTGAATTCCGGGCCGGACACCACTTTTCGGACTCTTCTGAGGTGATACAGGGATTTCACTTGGATATGGTATTCAAGCCAGTTGTGCAGAATGTTCGTGATTGAAAATGGCCACTAACCTGTATCCATACACTATTCAAAAGAATAAATGACATCTCGAGATTGGTGGCCATTTCATCGAACTGTACTGCACCAGATTTGTTGGATTTTGGTTGAGGGACCATATAGGCTTCGATGCCAAGACCAGCTAAAGCATCAATTCAGAAATTCAAAGAAATAAGGCTGCTAATGGGAAAGTATAGATGTTTCAAACCTGACTCGGCGCTGAAAATATTATCCTTCACATTCGGGTCGATTTCTCCTTGATTGTTTGGATAGTATGCTCTGCAAGTGTCTCAGTGGATCTTAGAAGTCGAAAAAATCCTAACAAATCTTTCCCGGTGTCATCGTAATGGATTTTAATGGAATAAACAATAACCAAGAAAAATTCCAAAGTCAGAAATAAGAAATAATCAACCTGATAAAGGCGATTTTGTAAGTGTTCTGATAGATACACTGGAATGCCGAATATGGAACCTGAGAAGAGATATCGACCGCGTAATCAGTGGTGAGCTGAGAAAAAATAATTTTTTTCAGAGCTTTTGAAAGGGGAAATTAAAAAAAAAACAAAACATTCTCTGGGATTCCGATGCATTTGAATTCCATTCGAGCGTTTAGGGTTGGAAAAAATTTCATAGGACAGTGCAGAGGTGTGTTTTTCAACATTAGCCCAGGCTCTAACGTAATTTGCTTCTACTTTGCAAGAGTATAAATTGACCTTCTGCCTGTACTCCTAAGACTCGTGCTAGGCTGTACTGGCCGTTCTGAGGATCCGGCTTGCCCAAGTAGAGTAAAGGGCCTGAGTCTGGTCCAGCTAGCACATTTTTTGCAACGAGGATGGGTCGCTAAGGGGGAATTCTAAATGTGGCAGTCATATATGTTTAATACTTCATACTTGAATGGTCGAGAATTCCAGATTTTCACGAATTTTTTCCTACTCCTTTCCCCATCCGCCTCCTCTTACCCTATCGTTACTCTACTAATTTTTCATACCATAGAATTTGGTGTTTACTTCACCGACCGCCAGTGGGAAGCAGAAAATGGCAAACTTACAAGGAAGTTATTCAGGGCCGCTTCGAACTTCCTCATTACTCTCAAGTAAGAGGAACTTTCGATCTTTGCAATCAAGCAGTGAGCCACGTGAAATGCTTACTGAGAAAAGAACACCTCCAAACTAAAATAGGATTCACTCTCAACCCAGAGCAGTAGTAGAGTACACACGTGGACGTCTACAACTTCGACAAATACGAGAAAGAGATGCAAGATGCAAGAAAGTGGAATGCGAGAGCTCTATTGTTTCAACACTTTTGACACTTACCAATTGAGAGCTTTGCCCTCGAGATGGCGACTGCTGCTGGATAGGAGGACCGGCTATGCATCCCAAAATCAGAACAGTCAGCAGAACAACCTTTTCCATTGCTCAAATATCTCTAAAAATCTATTTTAGCAAATTTTATATGGTCGATAGGGGAGAGTCAGATGGAACTGGACCTAGACCGGATGCTTTTGACACTATAGCCTCTTTATCAAATTGTGGATTTCACTAATTCAGTATTACCCAGGGGGTGATCAATAGATGCCAAGTAGGTGCAGAAGAAAAAGACATGGAATGAAGCAACACCCTGCCTTTCTACGTCTATTGTGCAGGCCGGGTACCAAGTTAAACTTTGCTGCGATTCAAAGTGGAAGGCGAAAACATGCCGCATAACGAAGATAACGGCCACGAAATAAGACGTTTCGCGTTTGATAGAGCTACTTACATCCAAATTATAATTGAATATAGTCTCTTAACTATTTTGGCTTGTTTTTGTTATACTGTTATTATTCTGCAAAGACTTTCGCGATAAGAACAGTGTAAAGATCGTCAGTATAAAATAAAGAGCAAGGAAACATAATCTACCCGGCAAGAAGTGATAATCGGCAAGAGTCAGTCGTTACTTTGGAAGCAACTGCCATGATATGGTCTTCACGCTCACCATATCAGTCGGCAGATAGCTAATCCCTGGCTG